TACCGGAGACGTCGAATAAAACGGAGGGGGAACGTTTGTGTGAGTTGATGTGTAGCAAAGGTCTGCGTAAGTACATATACGCGAATATCTCTGATCGAGCTAAGCTAATGGAAGAGATTCCTTCAGCTTTGAAGTTGGCTAAAGAGCCAGCGAAGTTTGTGTTGGAATGTATTGGGAAGTTTTACTTACAAGGGCGTAGAGCATTTACTAAAGAGTCGCCTATGGTCTCTGCGAGACAAGTTTCGCTTCTGATTCTGGAGTCTTTTCTTCTAATGCCTGATCGTGGTAAAGGGAAGGTCAAGATTGAGAGTTGTATAAAGGATGAGGCGGAGACGGCTGCTGTTGCGTGGAGGAAAAGACTGATGAGCGAAGGAGGATTAGCTGCGGCAGAGAAAATGGATGCAAGGGGTTTGCTTTTACTAGTTGCTTGTTTTGGGGTTCCTTCAAACTTTAGGAGTATGGATTTGTTGGATTTGATACGGATGAGTGGTTCGAATGAGATTGCGGGTGCTTTGAAGCGGTCACCCTTTCTTGTCCCTATGATTTCAGGTACCATGTTCTGTTTTCACTCAATGAATTTCATTGCCTTTTTTGCAAATTCAATAAGTATCGAGTTCTATATGTGTTTTCTGTAAGCTTTGGAGTAGAATTGTATGTAGTACCATGCAACTAATAGAACTCATGGCATCTTAGAGTGCATTGACTGATTTAGCAAAATCCTAGCTAAAATCTATTCTGCAAAGAATTTGGAGCCGTCAAGTGTCAACCATAACTTTGATACAAAATTGTTGTTTGTTAGAACCAAACGACTTGCTATTGCCTTGGAAATAGTGTTTGCTGTGGTTTTCAATATTTCAAGTTAATATCATACGACTTTGTTGTTCGATACTAATTCGGCCTTAACAAATACCAACTTTAAAGGGTTAATAACTGGTACTTACACAATATTCTATTGGTCATAGGTATAGTTGAATCAAGTATCAAGCGTGGAATGCATATTGAAGCTCTTGAGATGGTTTATACCTTTGGGATGGAGGATAAGTTTTCAGCTTCTTCAGTCCTAACTTCATTCTTAAGAATGAGCAAGGAGTCATTTGAGAGGACAAAACGGAAAGCCCAGTCACCACTGGCATTTGTATGAACCCTTCCCTTGCACATTATGTACATTTATGAACTATTTATCCTCATCTGAATCTGACCATTGATATCTTTATTTCTCAACAGAAAGAGGCGGCTGCGAAGCAGCTAGCTGCGTTATCATCAGTGATGCGGTGTATGGAGACTCACAAGTTAGATCCTGCGAAAGAACTACCAGGGTGGCAGATCAAAGAGCAAATTGTTAATTTGGAGAAAGACACTCTTCAGCTCGACAAAGAGATGGAAGAGAAAGCAAGATCCATCAGTTTAATGGAGGAAGCGGTACTCGCCAAGAGAATATATAACCAACAGATGAAACGTCCAAGGTTGTCACCCATGGAGATGCCACCAGTAGCTTCGTCATCATATTCTTCTATCTACCTTGATCGTAGCTTTCATAGTCAGAGAGACGAAGATAGAGATGAAATATCAGCTCTTGTGAGTAGTTACCTCGGCCCGTCATCATCTTTTCCTCATCGCTCAAGTCTCAGAAGATCCCCTGAATATATAGTTCCACTTCCACCTGGTGGGTTAGGAAGAAGTGTATATGCATATGAACATCTACCTCCAAATTCATACTCTCCGGGTCACGGACAGAGACATCCACGACAGTACTCTCCTCCAATTCATGGACAACAACAAATACCATTTGGTCTTCAAAGAGTTTACAGACATTCACCATCTGAAGAAAGATATTTGGGTTTATCCAATCACAGGTCTCCTCGTAGTAACTCATCACTAGACCCCAAATAGGAGGAATGTAAATTTGTAACAAAGCTTTTTGTTTTTGTTTAAGGTAGTCATTTTATTACCTCACAACAGTCTCAAAATTTAATTTAATGTTTGGCGCTTAAGAATGCAAAAAATTTTGCTCTCTGTAATTGACATTTCAGATGCTAATGTTATTACTTCACAAGTTTTAGTCAACCTCAGATACATCGATATCACTATCTAAATAGACCTCTGGCTCTTCATCATCTGGATTCTCTTCATCCTCTGTCTCTGTTCCTTCTTGTTCTCTTTGCACTGCTCGAGCCATTGCGGATTCCAACCTTGTGCTTACAGTTTCCCATGATACAAGCCTTTCCATGAATGTATTTATGTATTCAGCTCTTCGGTTCTGTGTAAAACACAACAAGCATGAGACCATTGATTTCAAATTAAATGAAAATCATTCGGTTTTGATAGTACCTCAAAATCCAGATAGTAAGCGTGCTATTTGGCATAAAGGGAAAAAGAAAACTAAGTCAGCGATCAAGAAACCAATCTTTTATTCAGATAGAGAGAGATGAGTGGCATATATTATACCTCCCAGGTATCAATGGTGAGAAGTGGCTGCACATGGACAAACCAAATGTGTGAGAAAATAAATATCCATAGTAGCCAACAACAAAGATTTTCTCGATATTGGAAGTTTAGGCACTTACAGAATAATCCCATACAAGCGGATTTACTGCATTGGGCGTCTTCACTATTACAAGCTTCTTGTCTTCCTCCTTTGGGAGTGGATTTACGGCATTTGCAACGTCAAGTCTATTCGCCTTATCTGCATCAATGAATCCCCAGAAGCTTATGTATGTAAGTAATTTGGGAGTATTCATATTTGACTAGGGAACAAAGTTAAAAACACTCACATGCAAGCCATGTCCAACCCGAACCAAAATTAGAAGCTGCAGCCGACTTGAACCTTTCCAAAAACTCTTCGAAAGATCCGAAATCTCTCTCTATTAATCTGGGGAGCTCTCCAGTTGGCTTTCCTCCACCTCCAGGTTGGATAGACTCCCAGAAGAACTCGTGGTTCCAAGCCTGCAAGCCCCTCATACATCTTTAATTCACATTCAATCAACCCATCTCACAATAAGAAACTTGCCAATATGACCAGTGGTCCTAATCTGATTAAAGATATGGATCGTCAGGTGGTTTGCCCACTTATCCTGGATGTTATTTCTTGTCCAATCCACAGTTCACAAGAAACTAAATGTGTCATGTCAATGCATGTAAAGCAAGTGTTTTCTTGTTACGTTCAAATTTATCTACCTATCTATGGCAATATTTCTACATGACCTGAAGATCTTCAACACTAACACTGCCACTTATACGAATACAGTGTACTTATGGGTTCCAGTCTACTTTTTACATTATTTTTCTTAAGAAAAGCTGGTGGAAAGCAATATGGCATTTACCTGTGCAGCGTTGTTGAAGGCAGGAAGCATATTGCCTCTGTTGTATGAAAGAAGCACAACTTCTTCTAAGGGCAGTGTATCTAGATCTGTGCCCACGATTTGCTTGTTCAGATTCTCTACGTAAGTTCTGTGATGTTTGCCCCAGTGATAATCCAAGGTTTCCCGGCTCATATGCGGTTCCAGAGCATCCTACAATATATATAACACACCAACGACACAGAGTGAGCAACATCCCACATACGTTTCCAAAGCAGCAACCCCATCATTTCATTGATTTATTGAGTATGTGATTCACATAGTGTCCAATTAGCTTTTCTTACATTCATCGTTTAAACTAAAAAGTCACGTTACATCATAGCTTCGATATTATAGTCGCCGTGAACCTTCACAGCATAATATCACTACGTATTACTAGAACAGAACAAGCAAGCTCTGATTCAATGATAAGATTATATCAACCAAAATTCACACCTAAAAAGCTGAGTCTTTTCAATATACTTATTTCCAACTCTTGATAACAAATTCAAGAAAACGTACAAGAGGATAAGGAGGCGGCTTCAGCTCAAACCCCGCAGTGATTACACCGGAAACAGCCACCTTTCTCGAGAACTGTCTCTGCGTGATAAAAACCAAAGAATGTGTTTTGAGTCGTCAAGAAATGGTTATTCCCTATAGAACTAGAGTGAGTTTAAAACAAAAGAACTTTTTTAAGTTTCATTCAAGCATTTCATCAAACGCTTTCCCTACATAGTTCATTGGTCATGTTACCACCTAAAAAAAGAGTTCTTTGTAGAATTTATCAGCTAATTCGAACTTCGAGGAGATAAGAGAGAAGTCGCAAAACAAACCTTATCGTTTCTTTTCCATTGCATTCGCCGTTTTGGCCCTGTAAATCACCAACAAAACCCATATAAAAAAAAAAAAAAACCCAAGTGTTCATAGTAAGCGAGAAAGAAAGATAGAAAAAGGAGAGACCTTGAGAAGGAAGCAGCAGAGGAGAGTACGAGAGAGATGAGGAAATTGCTGTCACTGCAACACTCATCATCTTTCCTCAAAGCGTTACTGATTTATTTGATTTGAAGTCTGCAACAAAAAATATACAGAGAGCCTTCTTATCTCAAAGTCAATTAGACTTTTTGATTATCAAATTTTACTATCCCTCTCCTCCTTTTTTTTGGTCACTGTTAAAATACTAATCTTGTCTATCTGAACGAACAAAAAAAATAGTTAAAATACAATGGGAATTTCACTATTTTTACCTGTAAGAGTAAAACCGAAAATTAAGTGTATTATCGAAAATGACTTTTGAATAATTTTATAAATTCCTGATAATTTAGGAAACCGCATATAAATAAAATTTCTAAATCTCAAAAGATTAGGAGATGATGATATAAATTAAAAGATTAAAGAGATCGATTTTTTAAATTTGCGATTGCTTCCCTTTTGTGAGTGCTGTCATCTACTTAATTTCCTCCTATTGTTAAGTCGATCAAATCAAATTACAGTGAAGAATCCAACTGTAATATCAAATGACCAAATACAAAAATGGTGAAAATCCTTTCTGATATCATCAAATTTAATGTGCCTCATTACTCCATTATCAAACGTTTTTGACTGTTTTTTATTTTCTTCCAAAATTGATTTGAAAGTATCTTTTTCATTACGTTTCGCCAATCTAATTAATGTCCCTACTCCCTACTCCATTGTTTTCCATATAAATTGGACCACAGAGCCAATTACTTAATCTCATCAAACAGAAAAACTCAAGTCATCATCTATTTCTCTATCATGTCGATCAAGAGTGTTGTTTCTCTCCTAGTGGTCGTATGCATCGCAGCCTGCGTTAATGCGCAGCTACCGCAGTTTCCCCCACTCCCATTCCCATTCCCGTTTCCAAATCCATTCCAGCCAAGTCCTGGTATGCCAGGACTTCCTAACCCTTTCCATCCAAACCCCGGTATGCCAGGAATGCCCGACATGACCAAATGTTGGTCAACAGTGATGGATTTGCCAGGATGCTTTCAAGAGATTCAACAAGCCGTAATGACCGGCAAATTTGGCAGCATCGGTCCAGCTTGTTGTAAAGCTTTCCTTGACGCTGAAGCTAACTGCACACCGAATCTTCCATTCAACCCGTTTTTCCCTCCTATGATTAAACAAAAATGCTCCAAAAATGCTGCTCCTCCCACCACCGCACATTAGGATGCAAAATGTAGTTGTGTTAAACATTATTTTCCATATTTTTTTTAGTCGTCCCAGAATGTTTTAGACAAGAAAAAAAAAAAGAAGAAGAAACAATGATCTAAATCTAATAATAATGTCCCCTTTCCTATCTTTTGCTCAATTATAAACTCTTTTGATTGATGAATGAATCTCAAAGACAAGTAGCGCGATATCTCTTATGCGATTATGACAATGTTTTCCAAGATGATGATGAATATATAGCTTCTATATAGCTTGACATGTAGATCGATTCATACACAATTAAGAATCCATCATACATTACATATATTATCAAACAAAAATGTTACAAAAGTAGTGAAAAAGATCAAGCCCAAGCTCTTTTCCTAGGGGAAAGATCAGAAGTCTTGATATCATCTATTTTGGCAGCCATTATGAAATCATTCATGCTCAACCCTCCTGCATTATTCATCCAACAACCAACAACATACCGTTTTAAGAAACCACATAGTATTAAAACTCAAACATCGAATATTTGTATATGTTTGACATACCAATAGAAGGGGTAAATAGTTCAGCTCGAACTTGAGTAGGACTTTCCACATGAAGAGAAGGGTAATGACCAGAAGCTTCAGCAACCTTCTGGATCCTGTTTATGAGTTCAACACCGCACTCGGAATCCCTCACTTTCCACATACACCTTATCTTCAGACCACCCGCTTCATCCTCCACTATACTCCACCCCAAAACCTAAAACGATTACATAATACTTGTCTTTATATGTGTCATTTAAACACCAATAGGGCAATGAGAAGAGTAAACCATGAGACTTATCAACACTAATCATTTCATTTTTTTAACCTCGTAAACCATTGTTCCTAATATGTCCCTCATGATACTAAATCTTCTTTGGCTTATCTATCTTTTTGGGTCAAAATTCTATCTTAATGGACTAGAAATCTGTTAAACACTGGATCAAGCTTATCTTCACAACATTTGATCAACCAGCGAACTTGAAAAATCAAAATTCGAACATTTTTACACTAAGAGAGAAATAGTATATGTACCTTATGGAGGAGAGTTCTGGCATCATCAGCCGACAAAGGAGGTTGTGAAGGCGAAACAGGGGAACATTGAAGCTGAGAGAGAGACAAAACAGAAGCGTTTGGTATCAAAATCTTGTGCTCAGTGCTTTGGCAACCCAACACTTTGTCTCCAAATTGACTCGCTATCTCCTCCGGATAAGGGTCACGAGCTCCGAAATCACCGAGAAAATCCTGCGCCAGATTAGACCGGGTCACCGTTAACCGGCCTAGTTTACGGTTACTCCTACTCGCAGGTGGTAATAAACCGAACACTTTAAGGATTGTGCAAGAAGGTTTACGGAGGAGGAGGGAGGATACGGAGATGTTACACGGCGGAGATGATGACGTGGCGGCCATCGGAAGCTGTGTTTTGATGCTCTGTGCCGAAGATAAGAAGAGTTTTTGGTTTTAGAGAGCGAAACGATTTTCAGACCACTGGCTTGAGTTAAAAAATGGGTGAGGTGCCACGTAATCATTAATTGGGACCCATTCATGGGACCGACATGACACGTCACATTTTAAATCTCAGAAGCCCATTGGGTTTGATTGTACTTTTGTGTCTACTTTTGGTGAATCTACTTAAGATTTTATAATTTCCAAAATTATCCTTTTGGGTATCTTTAATTACGAACATACCTTCCCTTCTTTCCCGATTTCAAGCCCTAAAATTCTGTTTTCTCGCTTTAACGACAGTCGCCGAGTGAGAGATATAGAGAGAGAGGGAGAGAGAGAGATGCCGGTGCACGAGGAGCAAGAGCATGAGGTGTACGGTGGAGAGATCTCAGAGGAAGAGGAAGAAGAAGGAGAGATGGATACGGAGGAGTACGAAGAACACGGCGGAGAAGAAGGCGCCGCCGCCGGAGATGAGGAGCTTGAACCTGGCTCTAGCTCTAAGGTATTGTGATTCTTCGATCTATCTTTTACTTTTATTTAATTGAGACTCTTCTTGTTTGTCACTGTATTTAGTCTGTTCTTTGCTTTGATGGGTTCGTTAGGACTTAGAGGATATGAAGAAACGAATTAAGGAGATCGAGGAAGAAGCTGGAGCTTTGCGTGAAATGCAAGCCAAAGCTGAGAAAGATATGGGTGCTGGTCAAGGTTTGTGCTTTTAACTAATGCTTAGAATCTTGAATCTTTATGCCCAACTTCAGATAAATCTTGAATTGATAGATTAGGTTAAGAGCATGTCTTGTTGATTTTGATATTGCTTTGGAATCTTGTAGTGAATCAATAGAAATTTACTGGAGTTTGAGTATGAGAAGGAAATCATTATTAGTATTGTGCTTTGGTGCTGAAATCTATTGAAACATTCGAGTCTTCTCGGCAAGAATACCCTTTAGGCTTTGGCTAATCGGGTCAATACCCTTTTTGTTGTTGCATATCAATGAAGATCCTTCAGGTGGTGTTAGTGCGGCTGAGAAGGAAGAAGTGGATTCGCGTTCAATATATGTCGGCAATGTGAGGCTTCCACCATTAATTTTTTCACATGTTTCTTATTCATGTTTGTATATTTTTCAAAGAAAGTTTGTGTTTTTATTGTTTTGGTACCAATGAAATTTGGAGGCTAATTGTTGTTTGTTTCTTTGACTCTAGTATTTGCTAACCTACTTACCTTCATATTTCATAAAGCCTTATCTCCCATCTGTGGGGTTTTTTAGTATATGTGAATCGTTATTCCCCACTGATTCTTTGGCTATAATGTGTCTTTGGTTTTGTGTATATTAGGTGGACTATGCATGTACTCCAGAGGAAGTGCAACAGCATTTTCAATCCTGTGGGACAGTGAATAGGGTTACGATATTGACAGATAAGTTTGGTCAACCTAAAGGTTTTGCCTATGTCGAATTTGTGGAAGTAGAAGCTGTTCAGAATTCTCTAATTTTGAACGAGTCAGAACTTCATGGTCGTCAGATAAAGGTGCAAACTCATTCACGGAGATGGAGTCAATTGTCTTGTATCTAAAGATTAGTCATAATGAAACTTTGTTAAATCTATTTCCAGGTATCTGCAAAGAGAACTAATGTCCCCGGAATGAGGCAATTTCGAGGAAGGCGCCCCTTTAGACCAATGAGGGGATTCATGCCCGGAGTTCCATTTTATCCTCCATATGCTTATGGGTGCGTTCTAGAAACTTATCTGCCTTTTCCTCTCTTTTAAACAAAACTAGTAACATTTAGGTTTTATTGACTTATATAACACTAAAGATTCTGATAAAAGGAGATACGAGAAGTCCATTTGTTTGATTCATCGTGGTTGTTCATAAAATCACTAATGGTTGATGGTTTGTGCAGGAGAGTTCCCAGGTTCAGACGGCCAATGCGCTACAGACCCTACTGATTAGGCAAAATTGTTGTTAAAAGTAGCAGCTGCCTTTCCGTTTGGGAAGGCTTATCATCATCAACTCGGTTCATCGGACGCTGCAGTTGCTTCGATTAAATGAGATGAGTTGAAGAATTGTATGGCAGAGAGAGATGGGAATTATATTCTAGATTTTCTGTACAATATTTGATGACAAGAGCAACATTTTGAGTTCCTTTGTGTTTTTTTTTTTTTTTATCTTCAAACACGAGTCACAATAACTCACAAGCTTTCCATTGAGAATTACCAATTAAAAAACTCTTCTAGATTTGATACATTTGTTTGCATATAAAAACCGGAAAAAATAATTTACCAAATAAAAAATGAAAGAAAAGGAAACTTTCGTATATTTACACAAATCGGTTTTAAAAATATATTAATTAAAAAAGGAGAGAATTACTTAAATTAAGAGACTCGTTAAACCCTTTTCGATTTCAAAGTCGGTTCTTCCTCGCTCTGCGCCGCTTAACATCGAAGAAAAACCTCTCTAGCTAGCTTCTTCGAATCTCTCTATTTAGACTAATCGTTTTTTTTTTCGATTCTAAGCATCTAGCTGATTCATAGAAGAAACCCTAACTTCGCGAGCTTTGTTCATCAACCAACGGCGTGTGAGAAAACATGGGTCGGGACAACGATCAGAAGAAGAATAAGAAGAAGAGAAACAGAAGTAATGAGAATGAGAAGAGTGTTGAGAAAGTAGTTACTAATGAAGAGAAAGTCCCAACGCAGCAGAAGCAACAACAAGGGAATTGTAATCAAAGCAAGAAGAAGAAGAATCAAGAAGTTTATCCCTTCGGAAATTACAGAAACTACTATGGCTACCGAGTAACTCTCTCTTCACTTGTTTAGTATCAATATTGGTTTTAAGTATCTGATTTTTGGATTTCTTTTGATGGAAAACCGTAATGTGTTAGATAAGCCATGATACGGATGAGGATCCTCGGCTTAAAGTATTGAAGAAAGAATGGTTTGAAGGCAAAGACTGTCTTGATATTGGTTGCAACAGCGGCATTATGACTATTCATATTGGTATGTTCTCTGCTAATCAATATCGTAATTTGTTCCTGGTTCAAGAACCTATATGCCCATTATAGTTGTAGATATGTTGTTGTAACTATACCTGTCCTTATGAGAATGCTTTAGTAAAGTGGGATTTGGACTTTCATTGTGTCTGAAGTCTCTCTGTTACCATCTACAATTTATGTAATGGTTACCTGATATCTGTCTTTCCACTTCTTCAGCTAAAAAGTTTGGTTGCCGGAGCATTCTTGGAGTGGATATTGATTCAAGTAAGAACTACTGGTTGCATAATATTTTTCAGGGTTTTCTTTGTATATTAACCGAATCAAACTAATAAGTACATTATCATTCAAGTCTGCACTAATTGTCTTGTTTGATTTAATCAAGTATATCATATTATGTCTAGCTCAAGTGAAAACACAGAACATCAGATCATTTGAAACTTGTGCGATGAACTACATTTTCTTTGATTGAAGGTCGCATTGAGGATGCTCACTGGCATCTTAGGAAGTTTGTCAGAATGCAGAATTCCGCTAAGCCTAGTGAACAGAAATCTAGTTCGGAGGGTGCCGAGGGAGTACATAGATCGAAGGAGCAATCTGTTTCTCTCTCCAATGGCGAGGCAAAGACCGATAGCGCAGAAACTAAAGACCTGTCTCAGATTGTGTCGTTTCAGAAAGAGAATTTTGTTCTAACCCGAAATCTTGACGAGAATCGTTATGATACAATATTATGGTAAATCCCTTTCCTTTTTGCTCCCTTTTTCATTTGTACGTTTGGCCTCTGCCATTTGGGAGGACTAGAAACAAAAGAACAGTCACCAGTTCTTTTGGTAATGCTCATACCTTAAAGTGCATATGAAATTCCAACTGTAGTTGAGAAAAGCGTCACAGGAGGTTCCTAGTTAATTTAGCTTATGTAACTAAGCGTTTCTAGAAAGAGGTCACATTTTTAGTAGTTGCAATCAAAACTTCCTCTGTCTAGGATTCCTAATGCTGAAATTGAAAATAACAGCATTACTGATGACATGTTTCTTTTTGATGCAGTTTGAGTGTGACAAAATGGGTTCATTTGAACTGGGGTGATGACGGTTTGATCACCTTATTTTCAAAAATTTGGCGTCTTCTTCAACCGGTATCTATATTATACTTAATCATGTGCCCATTATTTGCTTTTCATATGCGCAACTGACAGTTGGCTTTGCTTTTCAGGGTGGTATCTTTGTAATGGAACCTCAGCCTTGGAAATCTTATGAAAACAATCGTCGTGTCTCAGAGGTGTGTATATACACAAATTTCTTTGTAATTGCACAAGTTAGCTAGATATATAGTTTGAGTATTTGTTTGCCTTGTGTGTTTGCAGACAACTGCAATGAATTACCGAACAATTGTTTTACGACCAGACCGTTTCCAAGAAATTCTTCTTGATAAGGTACCCTGTCTACTCCATTTTATTCCTTAGTTCGTCTACTTCATCTGTAAATTCTGCCATGCAATTGTATAAGTGTTGTTCAAAGTTAGATTAAGAGTTTCAGTTTAAATTTAGCTCAAAACTAATTTTTGTAATGAGTTAGTCTTGGCTTTTTTTATTTTGTCTTTTGATCCCGTTTGTGATCGGATCCTCATGTTCCATTACTTGTGTTTTGGTTTTGGCACAGATTGGGTTTAGAACAGTGGAAGATCTTACATCAAGCTTGTCCGGTGCAAGCAAAGGGTTTGATAGACAGATTCTCGCGTTCCAGAAATGAACATAATAACCAGATGCCTCATTGAAGGACAAGTTGTTGAGTTTTTGAACTTGTGAAAATCAAATTATGACATGGTTGAACACAAGACATAAGAGCAACTACAAGTCGCTTCATATCTAATACGTACTCTTTTTGCTACAGCTTAGGCTCTCTAATCTAATTCCATTGGACTTCTTTTTGTAAACGGTTTTAAATGATAATGACACAAAACTTTGAATTGATAAATGAGAGTCTTCGAATCAAATGAATCAACTTGATACTTTTCCATGTAAGCACTAATCAGCATATTTGTAGAACATGTATACAATACAGTTGCCAGTGTTGATAACAAGAATCATAGTATCAAATAAATGTAAGCTAAAGGGATGCCCAAGATGGATAAGGACATTCGTATTCCCATCCAGTTCCAGAATATTGAACGCAGTGTAACCAGAGAGCCTCGTCATGCTCCTCGTATCTGCATAAGTTAGAAACATGAGACTCCATTTGGATGAAAACAATAACACGTTGGTTGTTTTAGCATTTTTTTTACCCTTGTGGGATCAACTTTGGGCAGTTTGTACACATTGGATCGATGCTGAAATCTTCGCTAGAATACACGTAGTCGTCTGGAGAGACGATCTTTTTCTCACCTGCATCGATTCTTTTTGCAATATAGGTCTCAAGATTATCTATGTGTTGATTGAGATAAAGAGGGTCATTCGCTATGGGATGCCCTGTATATTGTAGATGCACTCGTATCTACAAACGTCAAAACCAAAATGAGAACCCCAAAAGGCCAAACTCTCTCTATCTACTATCCTCATGGCCAATAAGATCTAAAGATCCATATTATCTATTATGTATAATCACTTGCTTACTTGATGGGTTCTCCCTGTCACTGGTTCACATGAGACAAGGCTATGAGTCCCATTTGTATCGATTCTAGTTAACTTGGTGCATGCAGGCTTCCCCTTCACCTTCTTATCATCACCACTTGAATCGGGGTCCTACATTCCGATAGTTTTACTTAAAAAGTGTCCAATGGAAGATTTTATTCTTTATAACTAGAGGCATAATGTGGCTTTACCTCTGCTGTACTTCTTCCTTCACTGCCATTATAATTTATGTTGGCGTCGACTATCATCTGACACAACAAAGTCATGCAGCTACATCAAATGAACTTCCAAACCAAAAGCCTCAAGTGTTCTCCATATTATAACTCCTCAAGATAAGCTGGTAGATTTTGAGATTTGGATATTATGACTGGCCTCAAATCAGTTTGTTAATGTTGATTTATATAATTCGTGCTACTATATGAAGTTGGTAATCAGAGACAGTTCGAAAATCATCTAATAACATCAAAAGCACCTCAACAAACCTCATCTTCTGGGAACACGCCAATAACCTTTGCAATATAACGTTTCTTCACCATTCCACCCTCAATCTGAAACAATCAAGATAAGTAGTAGGTATGACATTTTGATTTACGAGCGAATAGCATCTTAGGAATTATGGTATAGCCAAGCAAAATGAGACCAACTTAGTACCTGTTGCCTGAAAAAATCTGCTTTAGCCGCCGTTCTTGCTATGATGAGCAATCCAGAAACCAAACGGTCTAATCTGTGAATAGCTGTGAAATGATGCAAGGATAACTCGTATTGTGTTATTTTAAAAAAGGAGCATTATGACAACGTATCCTTGTCTAATACTGTTGGCTGGATACGAAATAGAGTTCCTAGGTCATGCTCAGCATCAAGGATGCCAACAACTGTGTTCTTACGATATTGACCACATGGATGCACCTACACAAGAACAAAAATACCGGCTCTGTTACCAAAATATCAATCGTACACCACAAAGCATTAAGCATCTATATGTATACAATGTGAGTTGTATATTTCACAATGCTTTGAATAGTACTAACAGAAAGAGAATCATATTATTTGGTTTATGATCTAATTCAATCATTCTGATTTCTCAGCAAAAAGTGTTTCACAATCCCAGAGACCACATAGAGTGAAAACTATCCAACAGAAAAAATACTCACAGGAACAGAAGCTGGTTTGCAGACAGTAACAACGTCAGGTTCTTGATGAAGGATAACAACATCATCAATCATCACCGGTGGTTCATGCCTGAAACCTTTCAAACATTTAAAATTTGGACACACATTCAATGCAAAACTGAGGTATCTTTCAAATAGAAACAAGGAATAGCATCTCAATTTCAAATAGTAAATGCAACCATCTGAATAAAGTTTAGCTTAAAAACAACCTGTGGAGGAAGTGAGTAATCTTTTGGGAAGATTTCACAATGTATGAAACTGGTACAATTTCTCCATCAACTTTGATTCTTCCAGATTTGACTGCACCAATCTACAAAGTTCAAACATATCAAAATCCCAAAACGCCAGATTAATCATCAAACTAATAATTCCTTGAGACTAGAGCAAGAGCAATACATAATATTCACGAGGACGTCCTTTAAATTCGTCGGCGAACAAATCCACAATTGTTTTCCCTGTCCAGCGTTTGTTCACCTATACATCGATACCAATGTCACTCACCACTATACAAGCAAAAACTAGGGCTAAGAAGAAAGATGGAAGATACTTACATGAGAAATGAACTCGAAGTAGTATGGTCTCACATGGCGTCTTCCTGCACAAGCAAATCAAGCGATTAAACAAGAACAGTTAGTTGATTGAAGAGAGAGTGAAGATTGGAGGATTTGTTTTTTACCTCCATGGAAGATGTAGTCCTGCTTCTGTGATAGTTTGGAAGGTGACTGTAGAAGTAGGTCAGTATTCATGGTGTTTGAGGTGGTGGCGACGACGGGAGAGGCGGCTTTCTCTACGCCGTCGTCTTCTTGCTGCTTTCGTTTCATGTTTTTAAGATTAAATCTTTTAGCGGTGGTCGCTGTCAATCTAAACTTGGGAAAAACTCGTATTGGTTTGGGTTAACCAAGTTTTAAGCTACACCAAACCGGTTCCCCGTGAAAGAATTTGGGTTAGACGTTCGGTAATTCGGTTTGGTTTTGATCAATTCAAAAAAACTGGTATTGGTTTATTGATTATACGAGGAAATGTTGGAATTTAAATCGAAATACATTTGGTTGTGTGGGTAGTAGACAGTTTGGTTTGGTTTGGGTTGAGTTTTCTTGACGGAGACCAAATTGAAACAATAATTGACCTTTGTTTGGATTTTAGAATTTTGGTTAGTTTGGTTTTTGATGTCGGTTTTTTCAGTTTGGTCAATTAGTTTCAATAATTTCGATTTTTCTCCTGATAACTTTATGATGTTCTAATCAAAATGAGATAATTGTGTTTGGCAGGGGTTAGAGGAGTCAAGAGGAAGAACAAAAAGTGGTTTAGTGTTGGGAATGATCGAAGAGCAATTTGAGGTTCAATATATATGGTGTTAAAGTTAGAAATATATATGGTTTAAGTATTGAGACAAGTATTCTTCAGAGGGGCTTCGAATTTGGAGGAGTGGGGATGGAGAATGCGGTTGCGCGAACTAGATTCTAACCGGGAGATGAATGAAAAAGAGGAGATACCTTGACGTAAGAATTTTAGTTCATAAGCTGTGTCTGTGTATACCTATATAGATGACCTATTACCTAACATGGTTGCGGTTTTGTAGTAATTTATCAACATTTTAATATTCGTAGATGATTCCATTTTCTTCACCAAAATTGGTGTTGAAACTGTATCCCCATATGCCATATATATTCACTAGAAACAGTAACGATGGTGTTCTTAGCAAAAAAAAGAAACAGTAACGATGTATTTATAGAAAATATACATGACCTCGGTCACGAAACCGAGTTTTGAGTAGTTGGATCGGATTGTTCACATTTTATGCATGGTCGACTTCATGCCAACCATTTTATGTATGGTCGACTTCGACTACGTATCGCTATCCGATTAGCGACTATTTAACAATATCACAAATGTGCGTCCCAGAATACACATCGCCAGAAATTGGGTTTGCACGAAACCATTTGCATTTTTTTTTAATTACAATTTCAGCTATAAACAAATATTTTGGATTTATTTCCAAACGTATTAGACCCGTACGAAGTACGGGAATAAAATAGTTTTAAATACATTGAGTTTGTGTTCTTATTTTGATAACGGAAATGCATCGAGTTATTTGCCTCTAAGTAAGATTTTCTGTTTTTCATACATTGGTTGGATTCCTTTTTATGTTACTAAGTTAGTGTGTTATGGAACATAATTAGGGTGTGACTGGTTGTTATACATAGAGGAAAAGAATTGGAAAGAAAAATAATTCTTCTCAATTACTCTATCAATCCTCCAAAAAATTTATTCACCAACAAAATTAATTCTTTTCTTCTCAATTCTTCTACTTTTCAGTAAAAACAACTAAAAACTTCCTCCCATAAATACATAGGATACAAATTTCTTCAACTACTTATTTTTCTTTTCTTCTCATTTCTTCTCTTATTTTTCTTTTCTTTTCTTCTTAAATCACACCAGTCACACCCTTAGTATAACATTTTGACTTTTACGTTTTTTCCTAAATTCATAATGGATTTATCATAGATTTAATACTATATCACCACTACATTGATCTTAAATGTTTTGGAGACAATAAAAATAACATTATCTCTAAATTTTACTTTTGTTGGTGTTGTCGCTTTGATCTTTCTCGGAAAACCGCAACTCGTCTTTGTTATGAAGTTAACTCCATTGAAACTCATCTTGAACGACATTCAGTGCTTAAACGTTTGAAACACATGTTTTTGAACTTTTACTTGCTTCCTCTGTTTTAATTGTCATTCTGTGATGTTGTTCAGGTTTCGCTATGCCGCCTCGTCAGCCAGGAGAATCATCTTCCAATCCTTTGATCGCTTTCCCGTCCACACCATTTTTATGTTGTACGGGATCAGCCTGTAATCGTCCACCTTCAAGAGAGAAACTCAGAAACATAGTTAGATGAGATGAGAGAGATAGGTTATATAGAGACATTGTATAGCAAAGTTAAAGTAATCATCACAGAGATAACGAATGAAAAAAACATAGTTAGATGAGATGAGAGAGATGGGTTAACAATGTACAGCAAGTCACAATCAAGTAATTTGAAAGAAACATAAGTTTGCAAGTGAGATCCTTGAGAAACAGATATGAAAGTTCCATAAGTCACATACTTACTTATCTTACGGAAACAAATCAATTTTGAAATTGCACACTCCTCACATTCTGAACAAATCTTTCAATCAGTCAAATCTTGATTCTCATGATCGGATATTTCAAGTAGGCATTTGATTAACACAAAGATTGAGATTGGAAGTAAAACTCGTTACTTTAATCAAGTTCACCAACTCTTGTATCTCCTGTATGTGGAACAAAGTATAATGTTCCCATTACGTGTCCTGCTAGAAAAGAAAAGTTTAGTAAATATTAGTTGGCTTTTAATAAAAAAATTGATCTCAAAGTATATGTGAGTTTATTCAGCTTACATTGTCTGCAATGGACAAATGCTAGCCATGTACTGTTTTAAAACAATTTGAAGTCATTATCATGCAACAAAAAATAAAATTAATGTGTGAAGTAAGAACTCACCACCAACGTCCAAGACATGAATCTGAGGAGGCTGAGTACGTGAGAGAGCCAGAGACGTAGCAGACTGAGACATATATCTCTGATGCTTCTGCACCGAACAGTTGAGAGAAACACATATATCTCTGATGCTTCTGTACCAATGTACCATACAGAGCAGCCCGCATGAACCGTTGAGAGAAATTAATGATTCAAAATTTCTGAGAGCAAATAAATGAGTTTGAGTTCATCGTGAGTTAAATATATAGAGGATGATGAAACGGTTTCAACGATCTTGAGATCGTGAAAACGTGGTGACGGTGGTGTGGTAGTGGTAACTTGTGCTAGAAAATTTAGGGATTTTTAAGAGAAGGTGCGTGATGTGTTTTATTGTTTATTTGATTTTTTTTTTTAATTTCAAAAATTGTGAAATAGAAACCTATGTGGCATAATTTGATTGGCCAGGTGATTTGTGCTTTATAGTATAAAGTATCAAGAAAATAGGAAAGGAAACAAATCAAAAATAATTAAATAATGACGTGTCATAGCATCATATCCCCATCGCTTCTTCCTCACTGCTCCCAACATTTGCCTCTGATTGCATCATTTTCCTTAAGCTTGAGAAGCTTTCCGATTTCAAATTCCTTTTAATTCACGATGCCTTCTTCGTTCTCCAAGCCGGCTTTAGATCCTTCTTCATCGCCTCCACCGATTTCTCCTTTATCTCAAGACAGCTCGGAGGCTGAGCGCCGGCTTCGGGAAGCGGAGGAGAGGCTACGCGATGCTATGGCGGAGCTTCAACGTAGACAACGCTCCGCGGCGCGTGGATCTCACGCCGAATTATGTGATCACGCTGACGTTTCTTGCGTCGCCAATGCCATCGGGAATTTATGCCAGAGCTTTCTTCTCTCTTATGGTGTTAGAGTTGGGATCGGGATTCTTCTTCGTGCTTTTAAGCTCGCTAGGGGACAGTCTTATTCGTCTCTTCTCGATCTGAAGGTGATGAATTGGGATCGTTTTTTGTGCTTTTGTGGCAATTTCATGGTTTGTGTTTGATAGATAGTGAATTTTGTTGGAGATTTAGAGTCTTACGAGTCTCTGCTTTAGTGTTCCATTTGATACGATTGTTTTGAAATTAGAGCCAATTGGTCATTGACTTGGACATAAAATTCAAGGTGGTTCTAAAATGGTATACGTGATTCACTCACACATGAACAATGGTTGCAGCAACTTGTCTCGGAGAAAGATTTGATAGTTAGGGAGGAAGCATGTCGTATTGGTCTACTTTTTGGTGGCTTTACAGGCTCGTATCATGCCCTTAGATGCTGCTTGAGGAAGTGGAGGAAGAAGGAAACGCCATTGAATTCGTAAGTTTATGGTTTGTCTTATTTCGGCTCGTATCTCCTGTATGCTTGCGCATAGTGCTTGAAAAGTATATTCCTTATTATGACTTTGATTAAGGGTGGAGCAGAGTCTTAGCAGGTTCAGTTGCGGGTTTGTCTATCATGGCTTTAGATGATTCCAACCAGCGGCGCACGCTTGCTCTATACCTCTTGGCTAGATTAGGCCAGGTACATCTAATGGTCATAATATTGTCTGTCGTACGAGTAATATCACCACACAGATGTTTTTTTGGGAGTCTGATCTTCCCTCTTATTATTAGGCGGCTTATAATTCCGCAAAGTCAAAGAACAAGTTCCATCTTTGGGGTAGCCATTGGAGACATGGAGATTCATTACTTTTTTCTCTTGCATGTGCTCAGGTAATTGAGATTCTTCTCTTTTCTTCTTGTTCTAGCTAGTAATGGAAATGGTATAGACGTTGAAGAAAAGTTTTGTGAAACATACATATTCTCTCCAATCTGATTTAGTAGTGATTATGATCAGCAAGCTAATTTTGTTGCAATGAGGTTGGTGCAGGTTATGTATTCCTTTATAATGCGTCCTGAAACCTTGCCAAAGTCATATAGAGAATTTATTCAGAAAACTGGTCCTGTTGCAAGGCCTGTCTACCAGGCTGTAAGAGAATGCTGCAGAGGTGGTCCAATTGATGTAGCCTCCTTATCAGCCTATATTTCTAGTAAAAACGAAGCGAGTGACGTGAAGGTGGAAGAATTTGCTTCCATCATCCCTTGTGCAGCTATTCATCCAAACACTAACTCGTGTCTGGCCCAAAATGCTAACGCAATGTCAGCTACATTCAAGAAAACATTTCCATTATATTACTCCCTGACATTTGTCCCATATGTCGTTCTACACCTACAAAAGGTAAGGCTTTCCTTCAATATTTGCCGTTTCAGTGTTTAGATTCGTATGGTTTATGCATTAGTCAGACATGATATGTATTTTCTGATGCCATCCTACACTTTCAGTTCATGGCTTCTCCTTACCGTACATCTTGGCTTGCAATCAGAGATTCTGTTAGATCGACGTCCTTCTTGTCTGCTTTTGTTGGGATTTTTCAGGTAGCTGGTTTTTACATTTGATTGTGTCCCCTCAATTCATACAATACTCATAGTTTCCTAAAAGCATTCCCAAATGTATTTGCCTTCTTTCCCATTTGCACTAGGCTTTCATATGTGCCCATAGAAAAGTTGCAACCAAGGACCACAAGCTCGTTTATTGGTTTGCGGGTGGTGTAGCAGCCCTCTCAGTTATGCTGGAGAAAAAACCAAGACGATCTGAGCTTGCTCTATATGTTCTTCCTCGAGCAGGAGATTCTCTGTGGGAGATACTTATTAATCGCCACCTTCTTCCCGATATTAAAAATGCTGAGGTACAATACAAATTATTGTTGTATCTAACTTTCTTCCGCTTTTAATAGTGAAACTGATGTTTTATCCAACCAATGGAAACAGGTTGCTTTATTTTGTGGATGTATGGGAGGAATCATGTACTACCTAGAATATGAACCTGATACGATGGCTCCATTTCTGAGGGGACTTATCCGTCGGTTTCTTGCTAGTCAAATAAGCAATCCTAGCAGCAAATACCCTCATAATTCTTCCTATACATACCTCCAGACTCTAGATGCATTGAAGAAACCAAAAACGCAGGAGAGCCGAGAAGGCGAAACTCCGAAAGCCGAAGAAAAGTATAACTTGGAAGCAATTCCTGGTCTTTAGAAGCAGAAGCTGTCTGATACTGTATTAGCACCTGACGTTGAAATTGAACAAACCAAAAAGGACCCTTTAGGGAATCATGATTTTGATTGTGTTTCAGGAAGTTAATGTGAAACTTTCCAGAAAGGAAGGGTTCCTCCACAGAGAAAACTTACGAGATTGAAGTGATTCATAGGATTTAGTTGTCTTTTAAGTGTCTTTTATTTTCTTTCACGTAATAACAACAACTGTCTCTTCTTTATTTCAATGAGAAGTTGCAGAATGGAGAAGATTTATAGGAAGCGAGTCAAGCTTAAAGGCAGAAACCCAGTTGCTTTGATTTGTTCACATCAGTAATCTATTATACTCCTTTTCTTTGGTACACCATTGCTCTTGCTTCTCCCATAACAGTATTCCAATACAATTTCTCAGTACCACCTTTCTGCTTAATTCCTTATTGTTCTTGTCCTTGTTCTTTTGTTATAATGCGTTCCTTATATCCTTGTTTTAACAAACTCACTTAAACGAAACAGTGTGTTGTAAGTTTCATTATGTGAAAATGAAACAGATGGAGATAAGTCAATTCGGCTAAGATATGACTTGGTCTTTCAATTCTCATATCCAAACATTATTATATTACTCAAACTGTTGTCTCTATTGGTCGTAAGGTTTTATGGTCTGCGGGTCACTGACACTTGTAAGCATGTAAGGAATTCTTCATATGCTACGAAGTCAAATGTCAAAGGGAGTTTTGTAATAGAAAATTTCAAACAAAGTCGTGACGGTACACACCTTCATTGTATATTCAACTCGATCTTTTCTCTCTCTCGCTTATGAATCATCACCAAAATGGATGCTTTTGATACTCATTTACCGAAGGAGATCGTCTCTGATCCTCTCTATAACTCCTTTAACCCTAGGAGTGAAGAGTATGTCGTTGCCGGAAAGATTTACTTGGACAAAGACGGTTTTAGCCCGCTTCATGCAGCTGCAGCAGCCGGGCAAGTAGAGACTGTGAGGGCAACTTTGGGGGTTGAAAATAAGCTCTGCCGTCTCAAAGATAGAGATGGTAAGACTCCTCTTCATGTGGCAGCGATGAGAGGGAAAATCGATGTGATCAGAGAGATTGTAGCGAGCTGTGTTGATTGCGTAGAAGACGAGACGGTACAAGGTCAAACTGCTTTGCATCTTGCTGTTCTATACCAAGAGATCGAAGCGGTCATAGCCATTGTTGAGTTGATCACAGAGACAAATCGATTTGATGTTTTGAACAAGAAAGATGAACAGGGCAACACTGCTCTTCATCTTGCGACCTGGAGAAAAAATCGCCAGGTAAGAAGAATTAAGTTGAGGTCGAATAGTTTTCTCCGAGTGGAATCAAACTCTGTTTTTCTTTTGCCTACAGGTGATTGATGTGTTGGTTCAGGCAATACCAGAAGAATCAAGGTCGTTTGAGGTGAATGCTATGAACAAGATGGGTCTATCTGCGATGGATTTGCTGGTTATGTTTCCAAGCGAAGCTGGCGATAGAGAAATCTATGAGAAACTCATCGTGGCTGGAGCTCAGAGAGGTCGAGACATTGGTACCACTAATGTCGAGAGAACCACTTCTACTTCCACATGCCAAGAGAGAGCAAGGGAGTCTCAAAGCCACAAAGAACTTGTTAAGTACTTCACTTTCAAAAAGCACAGAGACTCACCATCAGAAGCACGTAGCGCGTTACTAGTGGTGGCTTCACTAGTCGCCACAGCCACGTTTCAAGCCAGCTTGACTCCACCAGGTGGAACTTGGCAAGATAGCTCAATACCTGCTGTATCCCAGAACACAACGAGTGTGAATACTACAAATCAACAAGCTCATATAGCAGGGCAATCTATCATGGGGACCTTCAATGGAGTTGCTTTCACTTTGTTTGTGTTCTTTAACACAATTGGGTTTTCGGTTTCACTGTCTATGCTCAACATTCTCACCCTCGGGTTCCCATTGCGGTTCCAGCTTCAGATATGTATGATTGCTATGTATTTCTCGCACAACACAACCATGGCCAGCATTGCACCTGATCATGTCAAGCTTTACTGCATTCTCATCACGTCCATCCTTGCTGCTACCACCCCGAGTTTGATGAAGTTGCTCGAGAAGCCTATTGGCATGCTCGGTCAATTCTTGGGCTCCAGGTTACATAAATTTTGCTCCATGATTTCACTTTCATGTAAACGTTTTGTAACATAATAGCAGCCAGTTCAATATCTACCTTCTTCCAATCACAATGACCTGTTGTTGCATTGTACAGAAATCACCATTGTTATTACGAGTGATGTTATGATTTATGAAGGCATTTCTTATAAGAGTTATGAAGACATATAATGTGGAACACCTAAGATCACAGATCAACTCATGCTTCTATGTCGTTACAAATGCATACCTGATAGGTCAGCAAACACAGAAATTTGGGATTTTCTTATTCATCTGGGAGTTTACATATTTTGTGTGTTTTGTTTCCTATCTTACACTCAATCCCACCAAACTTAGAGGTGAAGATACGATTCTGAACGCAACCACCAGCTCTAAGCTTCCTCAGTTCCGCGTCAACAGCTCCCTTTAGGGAAGTTCTAATATCACCCAACGCCCAGACCAAGGATATATGTGGCCGCGGATCCTATAGGAAAATTGAAGCAATGGGTTAAGTGTTGGTGACAGTGACATTTGTTATATACTATCAAGCTTTTATACAGAAAAGCCATTAGACCTTGTAGAACTCTGGCAGATTGTGGAGCTTGTAAACTTCATTAACAGCATCAATTTGCTTACTTATCTGAATTAAGGATATGATAATCAATACAATATCTAACACAAGGTACCGAGTATGCAAAAAGCCAACATTCAAGGTAACTCTTGTTGTACAACATACCTCGGATAGTCCTGAAGTGGTGATTTCCAAAGAAAGGAAAGAGCGAGTACAATCGTCATTCACAAAGACTTCCCACTTATTAAAATCGATTGCATATCTGTCCAAGCACAGAACAGAAAACAATTCAGAAAGCACATCCTAATTGGTTCATATTGTAAACAAGAAATGATCTAACCTCTTCTGTAATTGAAGCTTTTGCCGAAGCATAGAAACCACCGAGTTAATCTGATGAACACGTAGAGGAACACTTCTTCCTAAGCTAATGTGGAACTCTCTCCCCAAGGCACGCTCAAACTTCTGATCATCCTTGCATAGAATGCTGAGTGGCACATCAGCCTCCACCAAATGAAGATGAGGAACAACTGATGCAACCCTCTTTAAGAAACAAACAATCTCCTTCTTCGGCAGTGGAGGTATAGAAACTAAAACCCAAAAACAAAATAAACACTTCAACAATACATTCTCAAACACATACTTATCCTCTTACACTAAACAACCACCCCACTTCAGAATTCAAAAACCTCAGAAACATGAACGATGGAGAAGCTCAAATTCTGAGAGAGATTACCAGGTATGTACACGTGCAACGCGTAATTTCCATCGACGTGAGGAAAGTTTCTTACACGAACTCCAGGCTCTGTGGAGTCAAGCGAACCTTCAAGTTCAGACCAAATCATAAGTAAGTGATGAGTGTAAGAATTAGATTGAGGAACAATGATAGAGACAATTCATGAGCATCATCACCTGTGGATACAATGGAATCGAGAAGCGCAAGCGGCGGAGGAGGCAAGGAAATCGAATCCTTCTCTTGCTTCCTAGCCGTTGATTTCTCGCTGGAGTTTTCAGTAATGGTACCAGCCGGAGAAAGATCATCGGTATCGGAGTCCGACGAAGAGTCGCCGTAGGACGCTCTCAATGCTTCCATCGCCGGTCAATTAAAAAAAAAACAAACAGAGAAATTATTTAAACCAGATTTTGATTTCAAGCATGAACCAGATTAAACCAAAATGATTCTAAACGAACCAAATTAAATTAGACCAATTTAAACCGAACCATCCGCGAAAACAAAGCAGCGGAATTCGGAACGGGCCGAAAATGGGCCTTCACCGAAGATCAAGCAAAACCCTAATTACGTTCCCTATAAATTAGACACCAATCGCCGGTGGAATCATTATCAATTGCGTCTAGGGTTCTCTTCTTCTGTACTCAATCTTTGTCTTTATCGTTTCTTTGGTTTTTTGATTGATAGTTTTTAAGTTTCGCGATGTAACTCTCTAATGGAGAGTAAGAGAGAGTATGGCGGTGATGACTCGGAAATTTCAAGCTCAACAGACCGGAATTAAGCGTTTCTTCCATTATTGGTTGATTCGTTTCTGTGTCGATACCCCCGCTGATCTGAGCCTTCCTCTCTTTCTTTCCCCTTAATTCTGTTTTGATTTCGTTTTCTAATCTGAAATTTTCTCTAGCAACCGATTTTTGCTTTTTATTTTTAAAATTGATTTTGAAATCGTGTTTACGGATTTTGATGATGATTTTGGAGATAACGATGAGGATATACAGCTCCCTCTTCTGATTAAGCTGAAGAGAATTGCTGGCAGAATCGAACCTAAATCACTAGCCACTACTGAGTTATCTCCTTAATCCTCGTAATTGGTTTTGAATATTTTGATCAGGAATAGGCCAGTTAGATGGTTGATAATGATGAAGCAAAATTAATCTAATCCAACACTTGATCTGAGAGATACTTTGTGTATCTCAAAGTGAAGTTACACCAGTTAGCTTCTGAATCTAATTTTGTTCAATTATCTGATTTGCCAGATTCTAGTTTACTGGCAACTACCAACGTAGCTATAATCGATTTTTGCGAGATTTTCAATCGACAGAAAGATTAAATCATTAAAATTGTTTGCATGAAGTAACTACAAAATCACTGCTAATTATCGAAATCTCAAGTCGTCTTAATGTCTAAAACTAATATAATCCAAAGTTAACGATCTCTATATATGACCCAAAGAGCATGCGGTTTGAAACGTCTAACGCTGAATGTAATTGTAGTTATTAAGGTTCCCGTTATGGCCAAGATAAAATACATATGACTTAGATTTTGGGACCAATGAGAGCGTAATTTGTGGAAACAACCACAAGGAAGCCAATATGATTGCAAAAGGGTAATAACCATGACTCATGGAAAGTAAGAAAAAACCAAAACGACAATGTTCTTTACTGTTCTAAAAGAAAGATTATGGTAGCTTCCGTAAGTAACAGTTGTAACTAAATAACAAGATCCCGTTCTTGATATTTTATATGGCGATAATGGAAGAAAGAAAGAAACCAGTGAAGTCAAAGATTATTATTTTTGGTTGTTTTTTTCAGAAAAACTGGAAAAAAGTCATTATCTTTTATGTCCCCCGAATTATTAGTTTTATAGACAAATAAAAAGAAAATAGCAAAGGAGTTTGTTCCCAGGAAGTCGGTATCTCTCTATCGAAGCCGACTTGACGATTCCTTACTTGCACGTTACACATTTTTTGTGTGTTTGTTTCCTTCCGTTTCCTTCTCTGGCAAGTCTGCTTCGTACGTGCTCTCTTCATTTCCACTTCACACTTTCTACTTTTTTACCAAATCTTATCCTCCAATTCGACTTGAACAAATTGGGTGTTTGGAGCAGCGTTGCTGCTGTAATTGGATCTGATCCGATCGAATTCGATTGTAATTTGGATCCCATGGAGGAGGAGAACGGTGTTTGCAAGGCGGAATCTGTCGATGGGAGCCTTGATGTTTGGAATTGTCAGAATTCCGATTCTTCTTCCGCTGATCACCTTGTCGTTATGGTCCATGGGATTTTAGGAAGGTAAACAAACTTTCATGGACTTTGTTAGATAGAGATTGTTCTGTTTTACTTTATATATATTTTTGCAATTCGCTCACAAGCAATTTGGTTCTGCAGTACGGATGATTGGAAGTTTGGAGCTGAGCAATTCGTCAAAAAGCTGCCTGACAAAGTCTTTGTTCACTGTAAGTAATCCTTGCTTCTCATTTAGTGATGATTTTAGAAAGTTGCAAATTGGAAATTTGTTTCCTTTTTCATATATAAACTTAGTTAGTAGTGGACCCTGTTTCTAATCTTTCAGCTATTGATTACGTTCTTTTATTCCATTTCTTGCTCCTATTGGGTCTGTGTCGCTGGCAATTATCGTTAAACTGTAATGTTGATGCTTGGTGAGACTTATATTATTAAATGCTCCAAGATTCTTAGTGATCTTGCCGTTTTTTAAGCAGGTAGTGAAAAGAATGTGTCTGCGCTTACTCTAGATGGTGTGGATGTAATGGGTGAGCGTCTAGCAGCTGAGGTAAGGCGTCATATATATGTCCTCTTTCATTTACATTTTGTTAAGTTAATTAGACTCTGTTTGATTTAACGAAATGCATGTCAGGTTCTTGATATTATTCAAAGAAAACCAAATATCCGTAAAATCTCCTTTGTTGCACATTCTTTGGGTGGGCTTGCAGCAAGATATGCAATTGGGAAATTGTACAAGCCTGCTAATCAGAAAGATGTGAAAGACTCGTTAGCGGATAGTAGTGAAGGGCCTCCCAAAGGCACAATATGTGGACTTGAGGCTATGAACTTTATTACTGTAGCTACACCACATTTGGGTTCAATGGGTAATAAACAGGTAACTTTACTTATGTAGTGATTTGTTTCATCTTTACAAATTGTTTGAAACAAATTTTCTTCTACAAATTTCTTTGCATAACATGATTCTGGTGAATGTAAATAAACAAACAAACAAAATAAAGATGACTCATTTGTTAACTTAAATGAAGCTATATATTAAACTTGGCACTATGTTTGTTCAGCTTTCCACCAACGTAATGTATATAAGATATGACTGATGTACTTGCTTTCTTGAACCATGGAAATCTGTTTGCATGATTGAATTAACATTTCACTTATGTCGGAATGTTATTCTCATAAGATTCAGAACAAGTTGTTATTTTCTTCCAGGTACCGTTTCTCTTTGGTTTTTCTTCCATTGAGAAAGTTGCAGGTCTCATTATCCACTGGATATTTAAAAGAACCGGCCGTCACCTTTTCTTGAAAGATGAAGAAGAGGGAAAACCACCCTTGCTTCGACGCATGGTGGAAGATACTGATGATTGTCATTTCATGTATGCCAGTCTATTCCCCATTTGTCACAAGTAAGTTCACCTAACCATGTCTCGAAGATTTTCTCACTAGAAAACATTTTCATCAATTGCAGATCTGCACTGCGAGCCTTCAAAAGGCGGGTGGCTTATTCAAATGTGGGCCACGATCGTATCCTTTATGTGTGTTACTTATAGTAGTGTCCTTTTTAGCATCAGACATTACATTTTTTCCTTCACTAGATCTGAATAGACGTTGTTGGCTGGAAGACGGCATCTATCAGACGTGACAGTGAATTGCCTAAGGTATCTGACTTTGATTGGATAACTTGATTTGGTTCAGGATTATGATATAATGGGTCTCTTTTATAATTGAATTACTTCTTGTTTACCAGTGGGAAGATTCTCTGAATGAGAAGTATCCTCACATTGTTTACGAAGAACTCTGCAAGGCATGTGATGCTGAGGACATACCAGAAGGCGAGAATCATTCAGATGACATAGAAGGTTAGCTTGTACCTGATGCACTGACCGTTTAGGCATTTATCAGTGATTTTGTAGAACTTATTGTTCACTTCTCTTATTTCTATTTCTAGTTGCTATGCTTTAGATCTCATTAGCTGGTAACAGAAGTGTTCAGTACAAACAATTCATATGTTGGACTACCATATGTAGTGCTTCTGCTCTCTTATTCATGTACAACATGATGTATTTAATAACGTAGTGCCTTGTCAATTTTGCAGAAGAAATGATCAAAGGCCTCTCCACAGTCTCATGGGAAAAAGTTGATGTTAGCTTTCACAGTAGCAGGCAGAGGTTTGCTGCCCATAGTGTTATACAGGTCTCTCACTCTCACCTGCCATCCCTCATCTGTAACATTTGTTTATCCTCACTCCTAAGGCTTTTTAATTGCATCTTCTCTTGATAGTTATCTTTCTGTTGTTATATAAGCTTGAACGATAACATAGTGTTCATTCATTTTGATAGGATTAATCTCCACATACTTTCTAGTAAAAATATGAAGTCTAATATCTGTGTTATGCCGTTTACAGGTTAAAAATGAAGATATGCATATAGAAGGAGCAGATGTCATAGAGCATATTATCGATCATTTCCATGCTTAAATCAGTAAACTTTTCATCACCCAAGAGTCTGGGACACGATAATTAAGGACTCAAGTTTCTTATAGTAAAGCAACATTTTCCACTGGACGTTTATATGTCACGTAGTTGTTTACACTATAAAATCAGCTCATTTTCTCTGTAATTGCACAGGTAGCAAGATGTTGATTATGACCAATGTATTTGATACTTGGTATTAGCAGCAAAGCAAATCTTGTTCAATTCAATTGTATCATGTATTCACATATATTTTGCAATGGAAAGTATAAAATAGCGTACTTTAAATGAAAGCTTTGTGCCTATATATTTGTTTACTTAGAAGAATTCCTACCTACTGAGTTGGTGGTTGTTTCTTTGATTTGATGACTTGAAATAGTCTAGATAATCTTGTCATGTTGTATGATGTGAATATGTCACGACAAATAGTCTAGATAATCTTGAATGTGTCTTTGAAAGCTGAAGCTTTGGTGGAGACTGGAATATGTTACCTTTTTCTTATATCGTATTGAATTCTGTGTCTTGGGCATTCCGTATCTCTTTAGTGTGGACATTGATACTGGCAAAGACAGGTTTGTTGGTTTAAGACCTCCCTAGGTTGTTGCCTTGTTGTCGTGTGTACTTTAGTTGAATGCCTGTCTTCAGTATAACTTGTGTGTGTGTGTGTGTGTGAAATTTCTACTTCAGATGTCCAACAGAGAAGGAGAGGATTTGGGATCTGAAATGGAACTCTGACTTTGATCGAAGTTCCACTTAGTTTGATGTTGTGGAGCATATTTTCATCTTAGTTAAAAATGGTCCAATTTATTGTTAGAATGAACATTTCGGTAGGTTCAAAGTAGTTTTGTTGTCTCTGTAGGACCCTTTCTCAGCCATGGAATTGTCTGTGTATAGTTAATTTATGTATTGTACATGATCAGCTCTTCCAAAATGTAGATATCTTATCTTTTGCTTCTCTTGAAGGTAGGTCCAGCTTCTCTTGGAGTCGGTTTGTAAGAATTTAGTTCACCATCATTCAACAACCAATGGGTCTCGTTATCAAACTATATGTTGCCATCTACTTTAATACCTGATGAGATTTTTTGTTCTATGGTGAAATTTATAAGGTTGAATCAAAGTGCATCTGTTTATGGGTGTCTGCACTATTAAATGGCGACCACCATATTGTTCGAAGGGTTCATTAGCACGGTCTTGTAAGTATGAGCTTCCTCTTTGTTCTATAAGAAAATAATCATCCTCTTGAGCTCGTTTAAGGAACGGTGGAAAGAATTGCACTTAAGAAGAATGAATGAATGAATATAGCAAAGCATTTTTTACAATCAGCTAATCTAGAAGCTTTGAACACAACCACCCTTAAGATTTGTAAGTTCTTATTTAAAATCATCTTCTCGGTGCTTTACTTGTAGATGATATATACACCAACGGTTTTTATGTCACCTAATGTTTGATCCTCAGAAGCTTACGTAACCACGAGTTGAGAGTGTCCAAGAGCTGGATAAGGGGATAACAGAGCAACGGAGAATATTCTCATCTCTTTACTGTCTTCTCCGTCCCAAAACCCCATCCAACTTGACGGTGTTAACGGGCAAGCCTCAGCCTGAGCCTGAATTTCTGCCTCTTCCCTCTTCACAGCTTTATGGCTACACAGGTTACTTCCATGGCTTTCATCCCCCGTTACTTGTCTCTTCCTCTTTGCTTTTAAAGAGACAGTCTTGTTGTTGTCTCCATAGTCCTTGTGCTTGCCTGCTTCAAGGGGAAAGTTAAGAATGGCTTTGTTTCCTCGTAGTTTAAAAGCAGCGTTGTCGTAACCTCTTGCAGCTTCCATGGCTGTGTCAAAAGTCCCTAACCAGATACGAACACCTTTCTTGTTTGGGTCTCTGATCTCAGCCGCATACTTACCCCACGGTCTTCTCCTGACGCCTCTGTAATGCCTCAGGTCATCCTCTTGAGCCACTGGTGCAGGAACTGCTATAGTGGCAAGAGGTGGCTTGCGTTGGCTTAGAGTTGAAGTGGTGCAGTGGTGGATGGTGGAGACAAAGGTGTCTAAGGAAGGGAAATCGGTAAGAAGGTGTTGGGTTATGAGATTCAAAGCTGATTGGTCTTGTTCTAGTTGATGTGAAGAAGCCATAGATGATACTGGAGCCTTTTTCTATCTGATTGTTGTTTTGATTGTGGGTTTTGGTTTTTGAGATTGGAGGGTTATATAAAAATGGAAAGTGAGAGGTTTTTGAGATTAGCTTCTTTGGTTGGAGAGAGGAAGGATCCTTTTCAATTATTTTGACTTGTTTTCTACTGTTGTTTTGGAGTGTGGCAAGTGGACTTTAAATATTAGTATAAGTTTAAGACAAGAAAGGAGGGATTTTGTGGATTTGTCTCTATTTCCAGGCTTCTTCATATCCGAGACACATTTTAAAAATGGTTTTTATTACAGAAATTTGAAACAAAAATTGACACTTTTTAAAAATTTTATGGGTACAAGTTTATGTCTGCTTGCCTGTTTTAGACAATTTCTCGACGGTGTAGGATTCTCGTTTTTGGTTCACTGTGGATTATATGATTAGGTGGTTGGAATTTCTCTTTTGGCCGCACTGTTTCTATCTTTTTGAAAATAATTGGGTTACTTGATTTATGTTTCTTTCACGGCTAAGCGATGAAGTTTTTCCTTCTGGTTGTTTCCTTTGATTTGGTGACTTGAAATAGTTAAGGTAATCTTGTCATGTTGTAAGATGTAAAAATGTTACGAGTTACGACCTTAGCATCAAGTACATCTGGAAGCAGAAGTCTCGTGGAGTGGGTAACAAAGGAATGTCTTAGGTTTGTTTCAACATACTGAATTCTCTGTGTCTACTTTGTAACCTCATGAAAGTTTTTGTCTATGGTGAAATTTATAGGGTTGAAGAAAAGTACATATGTTTGTGGGTGTCTGCACTATTATATTAGACAGCGACCAAAGTCTTGGAGGCAATCGTTTTGCTTGAAGGGCTCATTAGTAGGTCTTGTAAGTTCAAACTTCTTCTTTGTGCTCGTTTAAGGAAGGGTAGAAAGAATTGCATTTAAGATGAATCAATGAATATAGGGAAACAATTTTTACAATCAGCTAATCTAGAAGCTTTCAACACAATCCAAAGTTGCTAATGTCACCTAATGTTGGAATGTTCCCAGTTTGACTCTCAGAAGCTTACATAACCACGAGGTGGGAGTGTCCAAGAGATAGATAAGGAGATAATGGAGGCACGGAGAATATCCCCATCTCTTTACTGTCTGCTCCGTCCCAAAACCCCATCCAACTTGACGGCGTTAATGGACAAGCATCAGTCTGAGCCTGAGCCTGAGCCTGAGCCTGAGTTTCTTCCCTCTTCACAGCTTTATGGCTGCTTAGGTGGCTTACATCCTCCGTTACTTGTCTTTTCCTCTTTGCTTTCAAAGACACAGTCTTGTTATTGTCTCCTAAGTCCTCGTGCTTTCCTGCTTCGAGTGGAAAGTTAAGAATGGCTTTGCTTCCACGTAGTTTAAAAGCAGCCTTGTCATAACCCCTTGCAGCTTCCATGGCTGTGTCAAAAGTCCCTAACCAGACACGAACACCTTTCCTGTTTGGGTCTCTGATCTCAGCCGCATACTTGCCCCAAGGTCTTCGCCTCACGCCTCTGTAATGCCTTTGATCATCCTCTTGAGCCACTGGTCCAGTAGTAGGAACTGCTATAGTGGCAAGAGGTGGCTTGCGTTGGCTTAGAGTTGAGGTGGTGCAGTGGTGGATGGTGGAGACAAAGGTCTCTAAGGAAGGGAAATCGGTAAGAAGGTGTTGGGTTATGAGATCTAAAGCTGATTGGTCTTGTTCTTGTTGTTGTTGATTTGAAGAAGCCATAGATGAATGATATAGGAGTCTTCTTCGTGTTTGTGTTTGTGATTGTGGTTTTGATTATGGATTTTGTTTTTTGAGATTGGAGGTTATATATAAAAGTGGGAGTGAGAGGTTTCGTGGTTAGCTTCTTGGGTTGGAGAGAGGAAGGATCCTTTTCAATTGTTTTGACTTGTTTAGTTCCATTGTTGCTTTGGAGTGTGGCAAGTGGACTACTCTAGTCTCTATAACTTATTATTTTAAGATAAGGAACGATTCGTGGCTCTGTCTTTTTCTTGTGAGGGTCCATCATCAAAGCTAGTGCCTACTTCCAGGCTTCTTCATATCCCAGACACAAATTAAAAAGGGATTTTTGTCAATAGTGGCATAAAAAAGAGTTTTAGTTTTTCGAAGTGCCATTATGAAAAACTCCTTTTGCAAATAGGTCATTGTTGTACGTTGTGGCACATGTAAAATACATTCTTGTCCTTGTAGACAGCAAAAGATATGTGAGCCTTTATACAAAGAGGGTTACGATTTGCACAAGACTTCATCTCTTTCTCTACTGCTCTCTTTTCCCTAGCCCACCAAATTCTCTCTTGTTTCCACCACCAGCAGCTCTTGTCCTCCACTTTCATTATTCACGTCCATTAGATTTTCCTCTAAATTTGTTTGTCTCTCATTTTCTTCTTCTTATGCTTTTTCGTCCACCAGTTTCTTATACGGATCCCAATCCACATGATATGTCCATTGGTCATAATCATATGATGGTTCCTCCTCTTTCTCTACTCCAACCTTATAATACTCATAACTCCCATTGTCGCCTCCCTAGTCCACCTTCTTCCCCTTGTCTACCATAATTGGTCCATCTCCTTAAGTATCTTCGTCTAATTTCATTAGTTTAGTCTACAGGATATGGCAAAATGATGTTTTTAGAGGACAAATCTGGATAATCGATGGACAACAAGATTGATAGATCTAAGAACAATTTCGGGACCAAAACAAACTGACAAACAATTGCCAATGATCAAGAGTTACCTTTTGCTTGGATCTGTAAATCGTGGACGAATATTATGTTTAGAGAAAGAGATACATAAATTTGAATTAATTCCTTGGGTTACCAATGCAACTCTGGCAGAATTAAATGCTCAGCCGAGCAGTCAAACCATCGTTTCCAGCAGGCCATATGGAGGGCATTTCCGTCTTTCTTTGTTGCAAAAATGGCCTTCCCCATAACAAGTTTTTTAAATGGCGTTCCGAAAAATGAAAGTCTAAAAGATGGCAAAATCGTTAAAAATTTCAATTAAAAATGGTTTTATTTTTTTTAAGAGAAATAAAAGAAAAATTGACACTTTTTTCGTACTTTTTGGGTAAAGGTAAGTTGACACAAATAAAGTTGTATTTTGGAAAAGGTTGATGCACTAATGTGTATATGTCCACAGTCCACTTGCCTATGTTAGACACCAAATTTATGTCTCTATGCAAGTCGTTTATTTGGAAGGATTATCCCTCTGTTCTTATAACCTCCTTCATTTCTTCCTCGCTTGGATCATAAAATGGCATTTTGAACGAATTTACCTTTGACACACTTACAAGACCCTATGTAAATACATAAATAACAGAAAGATCAAAATTTTCTAACCCTCTGTTGATACCTCAGAGACTAGGTCGTGGAAAGAACCAGATAACAATATATTACAACATTCCCTGTACAAATGAATAAATGATCATCAATAGGGTTTTAGTTTCTTTCCATTAATGTGAGAACCATACGTCCACAAGACCATATCTTCAGAACGTATTTTGAAAAATGTCGTAAAATCTCTTTGGATTTATTACAGTTAAACTTGAACTTGTATTCACTAAGAAGACTTGAACTTGTTATACATGCATTCATCTTATTATTCTCCAGTTCGTCGAGAACCTTACAAGTCCACAATACGATCGTTATACGTCTTTTTACTTTTAAGGAAGTTTAAATGTCTTTAGGTGAAAAATGATGACGAAATCTATATAAGACCTTAGAGAAATCTAAAAAAATATATCAAGGAAACAACTACGGGAGAAAACCTATTATTCAACCAAACTAAAAACAGTGGAAAGATACTATAACTACAAAGATTCAACGACCTATTAGTGTCCAATGGAAGTTGGCAAAATTCTTTGGGCAATATATATGTCTGTCAATCCTCCTCATTTGATCTAGATTTTGGGTGTGAGTTTGGCCCACACTAATATAGTACCAAAACCAAGGTCGATTATGGGCTATCACATGTGGATGTCTAGTCTCATAAAATTGTCGCTTGAGATGTACAATCCTGAGTGTGAGGGCCGAGGAGGTGTATTAAAGTCTCATATTGGAAGTTAGCAAATTCCTTGGTCAATATATAAGTATGTGGCAATCTTCCTTCTTTGAGCTAGCTTTTGGGTGTGAGTTAGGCTTACACTAATACGACCTAAAATAGAAGGATAAGTAAAAACAATCCTAAACCAAACAACATCACTTAACATGTACCTCTCCAAGATAAAAAAGTGCAAACCCGTGACCCTAAACGATCAAATAGACCCCTAAAAAACTCGAATACTCAACAAAGAATCGGCCATCTAGGGAGGCATAACCAGCAAGATAATTATGGCTGGAAACCGAGACTAGATTCATTCGCGGTCAAACCGCGCTATCGATCGAAGAAGATCCGGCGAATCCAATCTTGCCTCCACCTAGTCTCAAACCAATGAACCACCGTCTTCCAAATGACCTAAAACAGCCTAATCACACAAAAAATAATCCGTAGAACCGACAACCAAATCACCACGATCGCATTACCATTCGGGTTTGGCAGACGCCTCAAGTTTAATCCTCGATCTTAATTCTTAAATCTGAAACCTCACCTCTATAAGTCGGAACCACCATCTTCTAAATTTAATAACCCTAACATACCTCTCACGTCACCGGTAAAAAAAAGGCCGGTGATCAGAGAAACAAAGATCCAAATAAAGAGATTAAAAAATTGAAAATAAAAAAAGGCCGCGTTTCACTTAAAAAACCCTAAGTGCTCCTTCTTCGCTTTCCTCTGTTTTTCCTCGGATTTAAAACTCAAAATTCGTAATTCTCCATATCACTGAACGCTTCCAATTCATCATCCTCGTACGCTCCCAAATTGCCTTTCCTCTTCGCTTCCAGATTCTCCTCTTCCGGTCGCCGCCGGAGACCTAGTATCTCATCTGCTACGTATAATGGTGTCGCCGAAAGAGTTAGTGGCCATAGTACACTCTTCACTGCTCGGAACGTCACTGCCAACTCCAACGCAGCGTATCGAACTCACTCATGCCATTCGCAACTCATTTTCCTCTATTCAGAACCTCCTCTCTTTCCCGGTACTTGCTCGATTTCCTTTCTACTCGATGATACGTCCTTGTGTTTTCTGGGTATAGTAACCAAATCTTTTTTTTCTAATCTCTGGCAGCCTCCGAAGCCGTCGGACAGAGCGCAAGTTCAGTCCAAAGAAATTCGACTCCCGGATTCGCTGCCAATATCTTTGGATGACCAAGATGTCGCTATTGTAAGTGTTTCTTTCGACTTCTAGATGACATTCTTGGTCTTGTGGAGGTTTAGATTTTAGAATTTAGATATGAAAACAATTGACACCGATTAAAGCAAGTTTTGCTTCAATTTTGCGGATGGATTGAATAAAATGGTTGTCTAAGTAGATGTCTAACAAGGCAGAATTTCGCTGTTTCCTTTACCATGTTGAATGAACTTTTAGAATGTGCTTGGTTGCTGCTCATTTCCGATGTATGAGCTTCTTTTCATAGGGATTGTGGTTTGTCCTGATGATTTGTTAAATCTACCATTTGACACACATTACCACCTTTAAGCTTCTGTTTAATTTGAAATATGTGCAATGATATATTTGGTTGATATCTTACTGCTTCAGAAAAAAGGTGCCTTTAACAACTCTAACGGCCTATGTTCTTCATATATTGTTATTGATTGTAGAGCTTGAAACTGAGTGATGAGCTTCACCTAAATGAGATAGATTCTGTTCGTCTGCTTGTATCTGCAAATCAGGAGGTGCGATTCCCTTCGCTTTGCTTCTACTCTCATCTCTTAGCTTCTAAAGCTCTGGAGTTATTTTCTGCGATATGTTCTTATATTTTATCCTCTGTTTAGTGGGGCTTAATGGGACGGGACCCTCTTGAGATTCAACGGCTTGCAACTGGACTATGGTATACAGGGAGAAGAGATCTTACGTCAACTCTATACACACTCCTGAGGGTAGCTTACTCTCTCATTATATTTCTGGGTTTTTTTTTTGTTCTTCTAGTGTTCTTAACGTCATCGCACATTACCATTTTTCTGGTTGAATAGGCAGTTGTTCTGGACCAGGGGCTTGAACCTGATCTTATAGCTGACATTCAGGGACTCTTAGAAGAACTTATTAAAGCTGGGCTCAGACAACGGTTGATTACTCTTGTAAAGGTATTAACCACTTGGGTTCTTTTAAGTTACATTTTCATAGGTGTCAAATATACGTAACTTGAATAACTTCCTACTTTTCTGCTTGAATTTCTTCTGAAGCACTCATCTTATTGACAATCATTCTCATTAATGCAAAGACTATTCTCTTGTTCGTTGTCATATCTGTCTAGCTACACCATTTCAATCTACTTTTCCATTTGTTTCTCATGATCGTAGAGAATAAACAATCTTTCTCCAATTAGTTAATTGAATCCTATTTTTAAATGTGTAACTGTTACTTATTGGGCAACCATAAGGTATTGAGACCATTACAAATTTTGTCCACATCAGGAAAATTATTGTTTGCTGTTTTCGTCCGCTCTAATATGTCATTGTTGTCAATGCTGCCTGATACCTTTTAAAGTTGTCAACTACACGAGCTTCATAGTTCAAGACACTTGGGGTAATGCACTTCCTATGTAATAATCATCTTTGAGATTTGTTTTTAGTTGTCAATATTATCTTTAAATTCAAAGACAGTTGCAGTACATTTATTTTACCATTTGTTATTAACTTCTCACTTTGCATTAACATCAACATGAGTTCAAGCTAACTCTTAAAATATTCAGATCTAACTTGCTTTGGATTCAAGTGTTCACATAAATGAGTCAATATATTTTAAAGATTTACTTTCGAAACTTCAAAAATCCAATGATTGTCCCCTATGTCCATTGTCTTCATAGCTGAACATTTGCAGCCAAAGCATTCTTTAATCTAGTAGGAAATATTAGATGTAAAAGTCCTTTCAGACGATCTTGTGACTTGATATTTTTTGTTCTTTGGCATTATTATGTAATTATTGTCATGATAGCA